ACAGGGTCTCCCTGTAGCCCCAGCTATCCTGGAACTCACTATGTAGACCAGGCTGGCCTTGAACTCACAGAGATCCACCTGCCTCTGCCTCCCGAGTGCTGGGATTAAAGGCGTGTGCCACCACGCCTGGCCTTATATATTTTTATTTTATGTGTATGAGTGTATTCCCTGCATGTATGTGAGTACATCCGTGTTGTGGACAGTTCGTAGCCACCACATGGGTGTTGGGAATCGAATTTGGATCCTCTGCAAGAGCAGTCAATGTGCTCTTAACTGCTGAGCCATCTCTCCAGCCCTGACATCTTTTATGTATATGTTTTGCTTGCATGTGTGTAAGTGCCCATGGAGGACAGAAGGTGTCAGATCCCCAGGAACTGGAGTTATGGATAGCTGTTAGCTGCCACATGGGTGCTGGGAACTGAATCTGGGCCCACTGTAAGAGTGGCCAGTGCTCTTAACCATTGAGTCATCTCTCCAGCCCTGGGTTTTCTTAAAAAATGAGAATTTAAGTTTAGTGTGGTGGTACACACCTATAATACTAGCACTTTGGAGGTAGAATCAAGAGAATCAGGAGTTAGTTCAAGATCATTATCAGCTACACAGTGAGTTTGAGCATAGTTTGGGCTATGTATGCCCAACTTAAAAAAAAAAAAGATCAGCCAGGTATAATGGAACACACATGTAATTCCACTATTCAAGAGGCAAAGGCAGGAGGATTGTTATTAGGCCAACCTGGGCTACACAGTGAAAACTTGTCTCAAAATAAAGAATAACATTTACCACATGAAATTGTTATGACTTATTAAGACTTCCTATGTTATCTGGCCATTTCTAAATACAGTAAGTGAATCTTTGCTTCTTTTGCTCTAGATACTGTATGGAGTTCAAGACAGAATCTTTGACTCCTCACTGTGCTCTGGAACATCGTCCCTTGACTCGATGGATGCAGTATCTTCGAGAGGGATACACAGTGTGTGTGGACTGTCAACCTCCAGCTATGAACTCTGTGAGCCTGCGTTGTTCTGGTGATGGCCTGGACTCTGATGGGTAAGAGAAGGCAACTGACTGAAGAGCTTTTCTGGTTAGTCTATGGATCTGTCTTCTGTGTCCTAAAGAGCTGACCAGCATGTAACATGTCAAGGCATGATATGGCAGTGAGGAATATCTTCTGTCCTGCAATCCAAGTCCAGAGATTTAGTTCCCATTATAGGAACCAGAGGCTCCTGGACTGGAATTTCACAGGCCAGTTTGGATATTGAGGTTCGTTGTCTGTATGTATGGAGGTGCACCCATGCCATGTAATGCCCACAGAACAGAATATGGCATTGGATCCACTGGAACTAGCTAACAGTTGTTAGCCACCATGTGGGTGCTGGGGTATGAATCTGGGTCTTCTGCAAGAACAGCTGGTGTTCTTAACTCCTGAGCCATCTCTCCAGCCCTCTTTTGATTTTCTTTTAACTCTTTGTTGTTGATTGAGATAGGGTCTCACTCTAGGCAAAGCTGGCCTGGAGCTCACTATAGGTCAGGCTGACATGGAACTCACTGTGTAGGTCAGGGTATCCTGGAACTTAAGTCAATTCTCCTGCCTCAGGCTCCTAAGTATTCAAATTTCAGACATAGGCCACCACAACTGGCTTCTTTTAACTCTTGAAAACATAAAATTTGGGGCTGGAGAAATGGCTCAGGGGTTAAGAGCTCATATTGCTCTTGCAGAGCACCAAAGTTTGGTTCGCAGCACCCAAGTCTGGTGGCTCATAACCACCTGTAACTCTAGTTCTAGGGGATTCAGTGCCTTCTACTGGTTCCTTGCTCATGTGCACAAACCCACACACATATGCACATGATTTTTAAAAAAAAATCTTAAAAAATTATAAAATTCATCCTTAACTCACAAGTCCATACAAAAAGATGGGGAGAGCCCATAAGGGATTATAGTTTGCTAGCTCTTCCTGGGTGATTCAAACCCCAGGAATGTTGCAGATCCACTGTGTATGGAGCAGACTTTTTTCCTCTAAAAATTTTAATAATGTATTTTTTTAAGTTAAAATTTATTGAGGTGGTTTGAACAAATTCACACTCCCTCCCTCCCCTCCAAATCCTCCCGTATCTCCCCACCACTCTGGGCTTCGTGTACTTTTTTTTTTTAATGGGGCTTTTTGCTACTCTAACATTCCCCCCTCTGAAGAGGTAACCCTAAAATCTTTTAGGGATTAGATAAGATCTCCCAAATACATTTGACATTTTTGGCCTTTGGAATAGCGTATGTTGCTAAGAGGCCCAAGGACATTTTGACTTTTAGCCAAGAAACTGGCAACTTTTCTTTGGGGTCTTTTTACCCTAACTGCCTAGCCAATTCCTACCTCCTATTCTTATCACACCATCCTCTGAAGGGGTTACCCAAATTGCCAATAGGGAATAGGGATGCAGA